CAAACTAGTATCGGGAATTGCACAATTTAATTCCGCGAAACGACTTTTCCAAGAGCATTTAAGGCATCTCAAAGAGCTCCATCATTCCAGGAATGCATCGGGATCGAAGAGATGAAACATTTGAGCGAAAGCAATAACGTGAATCCTGAGTCTTTACACAGTCCTTCCGTTGATGCGCGTGCCATGGAAATGACTGACTGCCGATATAGGAATTCTTTTGTCTCCCAGCAGCCAATGCCATTACTAGAACAAATACTTTCGCTAGGATCTGCGACTCGACGTGCTGGTCCATCTCCTAGGACATGGCGAGAGCGAGAGGTGCCGAGAGAGATACGAGGGAGAATACGGCCGACCTGATTTCCTAGTCCATAGAATGCGATTCGCTTCCGGACGATGGCCTTTACCGTCCGTAGAAGATCATCCTCTTGGAAGATCCAATGACAAATGCCGAAGCTGTGCAGCTCCCGTATCTGGCTCCAACAAAAGATCCCGACGGTGCTCCTCTCTTTATCTTGGGCCATTTGCACAATATCTCCCACGAAACTAATTCATTAAATCCAGAGTGAATTCAGGAAGAATCGATTGACAGGCTGATACCATCACAGCATCTCTGAGTAAATTCACAGGACGTAACGTGGTGTATCCTTTAAAGTTTCTAATACTTTCAGGCGACTCGGTATAACAGTCTGATAAAATTGATAATTTTAAGAAACACTTAGACATCCTTTGTCCCAGTGCAGTAGGAAGTTAGAAACCACATAGATTTCCATTGGCCCTCGTAGCCGCCGCAGCGAGGGCAGCTGAACGCGTTACGTATTCATTCGGCGAAACTCGCGGTCGAGGAAGCTGCTTCACGTTATGCCAGAATTATTGTAATTGCCGGAGACGCTCACGAGCGAAGACGGGCAGCAGCAGCGTCTGCACGATTGGGATGCGGATACTGCTGTGCAGGAGGAGCACGTCACTACCGATAGAATAGGAATATCCAGTAAATGGAATGCCGCCGTCCGGAAAGCCCGATACAGAGGACACGACGTTTCTATGTGATCTACTGATCGTACGTAGGAAGCGCGGAGGGATATATCGGGACAGTGATAACGGAAATATAGTGGAACATCAGCTACACGCCTAGATTGTGAAAAAGTATCGATGCGAACGGCTGTGAACGTCATCTCGCTGAATGTCCGTCCATTTTTTTAAGAGGTCCTGCAATGGCCAGCCATCTCTCACACGAGTCTCGGCAGACGGCTCCGAATGAAAATTAACAACTGGCCGCGATCGTACAGCAGCCAGAAGGTCGATAGGATGGCTGGTTAGATGTTTGAACGGTCAGATGGTGAGACGGTCAGGTGGTTAGGTGGTTAGGTGGTTGGGTGGTTGGGTGGTTGGGTGGTTGGGTGGTTGGGTGGTTGGGTGGTTGGGTGGGTAGGAGATGCGGTCGTGTTGCCCAATGTAAATAAATCTAATCGGCGTTTTAACAGGGAAAAGAGAGGAGCGACTGGAGGTTCGTTAAGCGAGCTTAACGTGGCGTCCCGCTAAGGCATTACTCTCGGCTAACGGCCCGTGTTGCAACCCTATTAGCAATATATTTTCCCGGTCCAGCAACCCTTACACTTCGCAGTATTGTAGCGCTCGATCGGTTTACACTTTGTCGCTGAAATAGCGCCAGGAACTTCCTCACGCGGCAGCTACCCCTCTTTATCCTGCCTTTCCGATTCCAGCCCTGGCTGTATACACATTAACCCACCAACAGCCCTACCTGGCCTACCCTAATCCATTCGCCCGCTGCCTCTCTTCATCCGGTCCATTTATATTCAGGCAGTTTCGCAACTCTTTACCATCGACGTAATCCGGATGCTCGCGATCACACGCTAACGCTTGCATTTGCGAGCTTTTATCTCGAAATCGGTGCGTACAAATCCGGAACGATTAAATATCTCGAAAGTCCTTTCTCCCGGTACTGTTAGCTCGTGGCGCTGCAGCCCATCGCACCAATTTCAGGCTCTGTAGCTGCAGGACGAACCAGCTTATTTCTAGCGTGGATACGCGAGGACCAAGGCAATTGCGGCTGCGCACTTGCGCCCGAGTGCCCGTCCGTCCGGGGCTGTGCGAAGCGATTTGCAGATGTTACATGAAATATTCAATCTCCGACTTCGCTTTGTTGAACATCACTCGACGACCATCATCCACGTATCTACCCATAAGTATCTTCACTGCGCATACGTGTGCGACACTCCGAATCGGAAAAGTACCAAAATGGCCGACAGTCACGTTCTCCGAACGTAAAACGAAGTGCATAGGGGATGATTTGCGGCTCGCCGTTGTGGGAAGCATTGTGCGACTCGTGCTAGCTCCAGGGACGGGCCCTGGGCTTACCCGGGGGGGCTGTTCAATCGCAAGGGTGGGTAGGCGACTGGAATTCAAAAGCTCCGTCCCGCAACCGTAGCAGCCTGTAACGTATGCGAACGTTAGTCATAGCTTCCGAGACCACAAGCAGCCGAGAAAACTTTTAAAGAAATTCCTCTGTCGGCTCGTGGCCATCTTGCCC